GGAGGCTGAAGCTGATGCAGAGGCCATGGAGGGGTGCTGCCTGCTGGCTTGCTCCCTATGGCTTGCTTTGCCTGCTTTCTTATAGAACCTAGGACTACCAGCCATGGGGTGGAAACACCAACAATAGGCTGGGCCCTCTGCCCAAGGATCACTAATTAAGAAAATGCCTTACAGCCAGATCTTATGGAGGCATTTTCTCATTTGAGGTTCCCCCTTTTAACTCTAGAATTCTAGCTTGTGTGTCAAGTTGACATAAGATGAGCTAGCACACAGGCTTGAAAAAATATATTATGTAAAAAAGGATTATAATCCCCTTGACTTTCATGATTCCCTTTATTCAGATGTTAATTCATCTGCCAGTTACATATGCTAGTTTACTGACTCATCTGCCAGCTTACTATATTATAGTTAGTTCAGAGTAGCATCTGAAGTTTATGATGATCTTCCTTTATCAAAAGCTACAAAACAATCACTATATTGGAGTTAGTTACTATTTGCTCAGTTTTTCTATTTTTATACTTAAGCTTTTCCTTTGACCATGGATTTTTAAAAATGATATAAACCTTATGTTTACGATGTCAAAGCAAGCATGTTACTCTGAAGATGAACATCCTTTTGATCATCTGAGCACTCAGAGACCAAACTTCACAAGGACAGCTTGAGAAACAGCAAAGTTCACAGAGCCAATATGAAATCCTGTTATGACAAGCTAGAGGGCGGCAGGGATCAGTCTGGAAGGCCAACTGCTGCTACACATTGGCTCCTTCCAGACCTTTCTTTCTCTAAAATTTCATGACTAACAAGTGTAATTTGGAAGGTTTGAATGGCTTCTTGTCCAATTTCTGCCTTAACCAGGAAACAAGGCTCTTCGCTTACAATCGAAAAATTACCATTTAATGCTACTAAATCAACACTAGTGGTTATAAAAGAACATGATTTTGATGGGGAGCTTAATACCTGGCCAACTGGTCTCATTCATCTTTTTAAGCAACTTGAGTTAGAAAGCTGCTCCTTATTCTTGGCTATTTTGGACTTGTGGGATGCTGTCTACTATTAAGGATGCAGCTTCAGCAGCATTTGCTACTAGGGATGGCCAGCTACTGACAGGTAATTCATTGTCCAAACTAGTACCCTGTAAGTAAAAGAGTTCACTAGGAACAATGCTTTCAGGATGGTACCAGGTAACCTGGGAGTATGTTAGCACTCTAGATAGGAGAGATTGGTTTACAAGGACAGAAGCCTACTAGGGCATGAAAAAGTCACTATGTCACTAGCAAACAAGCTCGAGCTCAGGACTTGGGTCACTGTATATGCTAGACAAACACTGAAGTTATTTTGAGAGAATCTGGAGAATGAGCAACATTTGCTTATTTCTACATACTAGAGGGCCGACTGAGGCTTAGGATAAACTAATTCCAGACACTGACAATTGAGAAAAACATCTTCAATATAGTCAAGATATATTCTGGTACAAGGTTGGGCCAAGCCTGTAAATATTGGACCTGAGTGGCTTCTGTCTACGGGCCTAGGGCAGGTTGATTGACTGTAAGCATCAGGGCCACAGTTTTCTGGAGCCACAAAGAAGATATCTTTCTTTTGCAGAACATCTCTTCAAATGTCTGAAGAGTGCTTTCACCACTGCCTTTGATCTTGCATTAGCTAAGCAGAGTTTTATCCATAGGAAATGTAATGGTCTACATGAAGTACAAAAGTATTTCAAATGAGTGCCCTCCACCAGGAGAAAGTAAAGCTCTGAACACTCATTTGGTAGAAGCACATGCCCTACTGTTGGTTTATATGAAGTAAATACTTCCCCTAGGAAACTCTTCATTGAATTGAATTTGGCTATCACATTGGCCTTCCATTTTACACATGTACATTCTTATGATGAGTTGACCCTAAACAAGTGATTGCATTCACTCCATTAAACTTGGAAGCAGGATAGACTGGGAAGGACTGTGTGGATTCTCTGGTGCTATGTGGGCTTCAACTAGTCCCTCCATCCTTGGATTCCTCCCCAAGGATGAGGTGATGAAGACAAGATGATTAAGCCCCTTGCAAACACTAAGTAAACTATGAAGTCAGATCTGGATCTAAGTTTGTGGGAATGTTTGTCTTTTCATTCACTCATTCAGCTACTATACTGGACACTGAAGACATAGTTCTAAGCTAAAGATGGTAAAATGAGCTGCCTCATGTTTTTCATGTACTGACCCAGATTTGTATGGTCTAAAATATGACAATAATTCTCCCTATGACTTTCCTGGATCTCTTTAGTAATATTTTAAATGTATAATATAAAAGTGAGGATTTTCACAATCTTTACAGGACCATTTTGTAAGTGTTAACAAGCAGTTCCTGCTGGATGCAGTTTTCACACAAGACCACGTAGATGTACTTCTGTCTAATACAGAGCTGAGCAAGCTTCCTGTCCCTTCCTCCTCCTGGTGTATAGAGGCAGCTGCTGCCCCCAAATCAGCACACTCTTCTCCAATCTCAGAAAGCCATTCCTTTTATGTGGTCCTAGGCTTTACTCCCAGAATAGTCAAGACAGCAAGTCAGCTGATGCACACCAACTGGCTTTGATTTCTGCACATTTAACTAACACACGCACATAAAATAGTGACAACTAATGAAAACCTATTTGGTTCGTTGCTTGTTTGCCAGATGTTGGGTGATTTGACTGGCTTTTCTGAGTGTTGGTAGTTGGACAACTATAAGGATGCTGTCTACCAGTGAAGAACAAAAGGAGTCTCAGTCGACTTCAGAGTCAGGGTGATCTCCAGTCTCAGTCGTGAGCCTGATGAGATCTAGAATCACCCAGGAGAAGGGCCTCTGGACATGTCTGTGAGGGAGTATCTTGGTTAGGTTAACTGAGATGGAGAGCTTCAGTTACTGTGGTTAGCACTATTGCTGGTGCTTTAACTGGGCATGCGTGTGTGATATTCTCTTGATTAGGGTAATTGAAGTGGACAAAATCATCCACTGTGGGTGGTACCATTCTCTGGGGGTGGGTCCTAGATTGCATACAAAGGAGAAAGCTGACTGAAGACCAGCATTCATGACTCTCTGCTTCTTGACTGTACAAACAATAAGACCAGCTGCCTAATGCTTCTGTCCCTATGACTTCCTCACCACAATGGACTGTCACCTCGAACTATAATCCAGAGTAAGCCCTTTCTTCCTTAAATTGCATTTGTGAGATCATTTTATCACAGAAATGGGGAAAGTAAGACAGCTAGTGTTCTTTGTTTGTATTATTTGAGTCAAGACTTGCTGCATAGCTAAGACTAGCCTTGAACTCAGTGTCTTTTGGTCTTTGCTTCCCAAGTACTGGAATGGTAAATATGTGCCACCATACTTAGCTTTAATTTCAAGTTTATCCCATAGCAGGGAAAACTTGGTATCTAATCTATAGAGTCATTTATTGTAGGGAATTCTTTAAACCCATTCACTAGTATATGAATATAACTTCGCCATAGAGAGTATTTCTTTGTAATGAGGGTGTACTAGGTTTCAGTAAAGGTTAAGTGCTACATACTCTTCATTCATCTTACAGATATTTACTGAGACCCAGTGCTATTCTAGGGAATGTATCAGGATAGTACAGAATGCTAGGTCTGGAGTGAACACTGCTGCCAAGAATGAAGCTATGTTATTCCTCTGTGCATGAATTGACTTCAAAAGTGCCAGCCAAAGCTGGAAGAACTCTGAAGAAAAAGAACACATATCTGTGCAGGTATTGGAGGAGACTTCTGATTAATACTACTTAATTTGTATCTGACCAGAAAGCATATGAAGGAGGAAAAATTGAACTTGGCCATGATGGTACAAGCTTTTACAAGCCTTCTGAATGGACTGGGAAGTGTGAAGTCTTAGAAGGAACACAAGGGTGGAGTTGATAAAAATATGAGAGAAAAGCATTCAAAGTGATCAAAGTCTGCTGGTTGGAGAGGCAATTGTACTAGTTTGCAAGGTTGCTGCACGATTCTAGGAGGGGCAGGAGAGGTAAGAAAGAATTATGTCTCACTGCTTGCCTGTGGGAAAGCCCTCTGGGCTCTGCTGGCTGGAGACACAAGGCAGGCAAACAAAGGTGGAAGGAGCCAGCACAAAGAGTGAAGGATGCTGGCAGGCACCCAAGGATATCAATAACTAAGTAGAAGACTGGATGGCTTCCAATGTCCTTCCCACAGGACTATTAGAAAGACTATCTGGGAAAGAAATGCCCAGGAAGAAAATGCTGAATATTTTGTTAAACAAGAGAAAAGGAGGCCAAGGTCAGTAACATCTGGAGTACTACAAGTAGAGTCTGGGAAGCATTCATTACAGATGTGAGAATTAAAGTTAGATGCTGTAGGATAATGGGTAGATGAAATCTAATTAACAGCATCCATCTCTCGTCTCTACCACTTACATGACCATAGCATGTAAATACACTGGGTTTAAGGTTGTTGGTGATCTTGTAAAAAGGAACACATTGTGTAAGCAAGATGGCTCCACAGGTAGAGTCTTTTGATACAAAAGATGGACAGTAACTGAAGATCACACATGAGGTTGACATTTGATATCTTCATTCACACACACACACACACACACACACACACACATACACACACACATACACACACACACACACACACACACACATACACACACACACACACGATGGCCTGATAACATGAGCTGGATTACAGTGGAAGGAGAGCTGACTCCTTCAAGTGTTCCTCTCATCTCTACACATACATTGCACCATGCCTGCCCACTCATGAAAACCACACACTCAAAATTAAATTAAATTAAAAAAATTAAAAGGATCACACTGATAGGTTTGATAAATAGCCATAGGAGAGACAATTTAATGTTATTTCATTACTGAAAATGGATACAGAAAATGTTAAAATATCCGTTACATGTCACTTATTTGCTAAATCACTTATTTTCTTTAAACATTTTATGTGTAGATGCTAATTGCCAAGGAAAAGTATGGGAGCAATTCTTACTTGGTGATGCTGGTGGTAAAAGTTCCTTAATTACTGTTCTGTACAGAGACTCATCTTTAAGCAACAGTTGGGCTGCTTCCAAGTTCACTGGATTTTTTAGGCTAGGGTAAGAAAGCAACATCTAAAAGAAAACACAGCAAACAAGTTTAAATTAAATTTTTCTTGAAATAACAAGACAAACCAATGCATACAAACTCAACAAACATAGCAAGTGCCTATTATGTACAGCCCTGGAGATGGGTATCACGATGATATAAAACACAGGACAGCTGGGTGGTGGTGGCACATGCCTTTATTTGCACTTGGGAGGCAGAGCCAGGTGGATCTGAGTTCAAGGCCAGCTTACAGTGTGATTTTAAGGATAGCCAGGGTTACACAGAGAAACCCTGTCTTGAAACAAACAAAAAACCAAACAAACACCAAATCACTCTATCTTGGTTTTATGCTCTGTATTCATGAAGCACTGGGATCAAACCAAAACATTTTTTTCCTATAACATTCATTCCTATCACATAAATTTAAGGTGGATTTTTATGTAAAGCATTGGAGAACAGTAAAAAACTCCCATTACATACTAACAGGAGACCACATTAGATCATGGCTAAACACACATGTACTGGAGCTTCCAGACATGTCTATACCCCTTTTAGGTCATTAATTGATTCATTTACTATCAGTAGTAATTTTCTATGACTGTTATCACTACCACAGATTGTCATCTTAGAAGATATAATCTTATAATCTCTGTGTATTTAGGTGGAAAATCCAGGATGAAGGACTAGTTTCCAGAGTTAACCAGGTCGGAAGCCGAGCAGGCTGGGTTCCTGTGAGAAGACTCTGGACAAAGCACCTTCCATGTTCTTCCAAGCATGAGGTTGGCTGAATTTAGTTCCTTGTAGCTGTAGGATTCAGGATCTCACTGCTCAGACTGTTAGCTGTGTGCCACCCTCTGCCCCTACAGAGATATCTTCAGTCCTTGTCTTTGACATTCAGCATCTCGGGGTCAGCCATGGTATGAGAGGCCCTCCCTGAGCTTGAAATCTGACTTCTTTGGTCCCTTCCTCTCATCTGTTTTTACTCTTCTACCTTCTAATGCTAAGAGACCATGAACACTTCGCACAGTATAAACTAACCTTCCTCTCTTAAGGTTATCTGACTGATAACCGACAAATCTAAATGTATTTCATTCACAGCAGTGCATAGGTTAGTGCCTCATCAGGGGATCCTCTTTAAAATTCTGCATAGCACAGAATCCATGCACCTGGGCCAAACAGAGGACCGGTGGTGACCAAAATTGCTCTGCTAGATCACGATTTGTTTATTGATAACCTCACATTTCTTTTTGCTTTACCCTAAACTGCAAACAGATATGTAATAATTTAATATTTTGAACATTGTATGTTATACTACGCAGTCTAACAAAACACAGTTAAAAGAATCTCTTCACTCATCCCTACTTATGCCGTTTGGTTTTGTTAATCACCTTGACCCAAAGTGGAGCCATCTGGGAAGAGGGAACCTCAACTGAAGAACTTCCTCCATCAGCTCCTCCTGTGGGCAAGCCTGTGGTGCATTTTCCTGATTAATGATTGATGTGAGAGGCCCAGCCTACTGCAGGTAGCATCACCTCCAGGCAGGTGCTTCTAGTCTGTATCAAGGTGAGCAAGCCATGAGAAACAAGCACTCTTCCATGGTCTCTGCCTTGAGTTCCTGCCGTGGCTCTCCTCAGTGATGGACTGTGATCAGAACATGTAAGTCAAAGAAACCCTTTCATCTCTGTGTGAATTTTAGTTAGTGTTTATCACAGCAACAGAGGACTGGATGAGGATGCCGCTATAATACTGAAATGTAGATGCAGGGAAACCTGAATAATCACAGCTTAAAAGTTATGAAAACAGTCAGGTAGCAAGCAAAGATGGTTCAGTGGGTAAGGGTGCTTGCCACCAAGCCCAGCTACCTAAGTTCCATCCCTAGAACCCACATTGAGGAAGGAGCACTGAGTCCCACAAGTTGTCCTCTGACCTCCACATGTGTTTTATGGCCTGCCACTCCTAAATAAAGAGACAAATGTAAGAAAGTTAAAAGTGAAAATTATGAAAATTATGTCATGTGTGGTGGCACACACACACACACACACACACACACACACACACACACACTCTTTAGGAGATGGAAGCAGGAGATGGTGAGTTGGAGGCCACAGTGAGACCCTATCCCCAAAACAAACAAAAAATAGGGCAGCAGAGATGGTTCATGGGTAAAGGTGCTTACTGCCAAGCTTGACTACTTGAGTTTGCTCCCCAGGCCCACATAGTGAAAGGGAAGAAACTTTTCCAGGAAGTTGTCTTTTGACCTCCACAAGCATACTGTAGAACATACACACAGTAAACAATAAATGCACACAGAAAGCCATAAGCAAAACAAAGTAAAAATTATAGCAGACAGTCACTAATGAAAGTAATCATTTGGCACCCGATGTTTCAAAACCAATAAGAATTCTCCGTTATTATTGGAGTTTTCTCTTTGGGAAGCATGTTCAAGCTACATATCCACAATCATAACTGCCTAAATAAGGATTCAGTGTGGATCCCACTATCCCTTTCAAAGTGGGTGGAAAGCAGATGAAACTTCTTTTCACGAGCAAGCTCTTGGTCTCTGGCTGCAGGGAGAATCTTAGTCACCGAGGCACGCCTGGCAAATGTTATTTGGTATTTTCTCATTGACTGACGTGTGAGGGGGTAACAGAAGATGGAGGTATGTGCTTCTAAGGATGAGGGCCCCATGACGATCATGACATTTGGGAACCAGACATCGACCTGATGAGAGAGTATGTTTGGTTTCATTATTCTTCAGGTTTGACAGGAACTTAGAGGAGAGAGCAGCTAGCACTGTCTGGAGCGCAGAAGAAAGCTGACTATGTTAAGGAGTAGCCAGTGGCTCACCTATGAGGCAGGGGAAGCTAGGGAACTATGAAATAGTCACAAGGACCCGTGCTCAGTGTTAGAAGTGGAAATAAAGCCTGACTGTTTCTCCACAGTTGAAAACATCTCGTTGTGTATCTTTTGATTGTGAAGGGCTTTTAACTATCAATTTGAAAAATAAGTCTGCAGCTAAAGATCCACTCTCTAGTTCCTGATGAAGAAATTTTGATTGACACAGCTTGCTCTGATCCTTTGAGCATTTAAATATGCTCTGTACATGTTACCCCTTACGTGGTGAGTAAGTGGGAGAATTAATATGTTAAAGCGTTAAGTTAGGCATGGTGATACATGGCTGTAATTCCAGCCCCCAGGGCAGGGAGGCAGCAGAATTACGAGTTCAAAGCCAGCCTGGGACTACATAGTAAGGCCCCATATTATAGAGAATCACACACACATAGATAGACACATCCACACACACCATTACAATAGCTGTATTCTTACCTGTATATCAAGCAAGATGCTGCGTACTGTGTAACTCGTGTTCCACTTGTCAGGCTTGTCCAAAATGTCTATACTGAGTTTACCAGTATATGGGTCTACTGTATTAAAATAATGAATATTATCATTCAAAACATGTAAAGCATCATAATGACACATCAAGAAAAGCAGTGCTTCTACTCTTCCTTTCTTGCTATTTCTTACAACGATAAACACTAGATGGATACTCAGGATATATCAGCTTCTGTGTTTAACTTATAGGCTCCTGTGTAGTAATTTCATATTATAAATTTCAAATTTAAGGTTTTTTTTTGAGGCTTGTGTGTATGTGTGTGATTCATGTGTGTGTACATATGGGTGTGTACGCCTGTGAATGACCAGAAACCAGAGGAGGAGGCTGGGTATCCTGTCCTATCTGTCTTCATCGTACTTCTCTGAGGAAGGGTCTCTCATTGAGCCGATCGGCTGGTGTTCAGTAAGCCTCAGCAAGCCTCTTACCAGGACCCCCCCCCCCCCAGTGCTGGTGTAATATGCGTGTGTAACTTCGGCTGGAGCTTTACATGGGTGCTCAGGAGCCAAAGGCAGGTCCTGCTGCTTGCACAAGCCATTTACCTAGCTTTAGAACTACATTTTCATTACAAAAATCATACTTGACAGAAAAAAGTATTCAAGAAAACAGAAAGTAAAATACGAATGTTCCCTGCCTGATAATTCTACTGAAGTCACGTTGATCTATACCCTTCCTTCTGGATAAATACTTATAAGTGCTTATGTGCTTATCATGTAAAATGATATTTTTACATTTTCCAAGGTGTTTCTTCCATTTAAAATATATTTGCCACATATTTCTAGATGTATTTATTGATTAAAGCGTACTTACATACATTTATTGGTGTGTGTATGGGTGTGCAATGGGTGGTCAGAGGTCAGAGGATACCTTGTGGGAGTTGGATGTCTCCTCCCACCATGTGGGCTTGGGGGATTGTCAGGTTGGTCAGCAATGCTGGCCTCCAGATATGTTTATTAAAAAGAGATGTAAGTACCTACTATGTGCCAAACAATGATGATTCTAGGGACACTACAGTGACCAAGAAGGTCCATATTTCATGAGTCTTCCTTTTTCTATGTAGGGGAAAGATGAAGTAGGAAGGAAGTTTCACTTAATATTTTTCTACGTAAAAAAAAATTCCTATGTTCACAGACAGTGTGATTATAGTGAGTTCCCTGTATACATGGGTTCAGAATCCATGGATTCAACCGAGGATCAAAAATATTTAAAAAAAAATCATACTGACTTGTGCAGGCTTTTCCTTGCCATTATTTTTGAAACAATATAACATGTTAACCATACACATAGCATTGTCATTGTTAAGTAATTCAGAGATGATTGAAGTGTATAGGAGAGGCTGCGATAGGCTATGGGTTAAGTGTACTGGGGACAAGCATCCTTCAATATAATATACTGTTGTGCTACTATGTATAGACTATGAATAATCTATAAATCTGGAGTTTTAGCCCATAGAGATATATGTACATTATAGCTGATTAGAAATTGTCAAACCAATTCCCTAAAAGGTCACCATTATGTCAAGGAATAATGTCTGCCCAAGCCTACTAAAATTGAGTTTTAATGTCTTTGAACATTTTGTAAACAGAAGGGATAAACCAAAATATTTTGTGTTTTAATTTGCATCTATTTTTTTTCATAATGAGGTTGTTTTGTTGTGTTTCCTCTATCTGGTGTTTGTTGGTAGATTTCACACCATTTTCTGCTAGTTCACAAGAGTTTTCTTACTGTGGTATATAGATAGTATGTCCTGTGTACCCTAAATGTTTCCCAAGTTTGCAGAATACAGTGTTGTTATTTTTTAGTTTGTTTATAATGTGTGTAGCTACAGAGGTTTTAAAATAAAGTTTATGTAATATAAATGTCATGGTTTTCAGTAGTTTCATGAAGCAACTTCCATACAAACCCACAAAGAGCTACCTTACTTTGTCGCCTTCCTTAGAATTCAATTAAAAACAATGCAATGCTTCAGGAAATTGTTTCATGTATAAATAATTCAGCACAGCAAGCTAACACATTTTCACTCTCAAAGGTTAGGTTGGGCTGGTGTATCATTTTTATAAAGTGAAAAGTTACATTTAACTAAAACAATAAATGTTGCATGGTTATGTGTATTATTCAGCTATTTAAAATGATCTTTACAGAATGCGTACAAATGCAGGAAAGAGGCCAGGGAGTTGGGCTCCTGAGTTAAGAACATTGCTGAGTCTGGTTCCCAGCACTCAAACAGAGTGGCTCATAGCTGCATGTAATTCTAGATCCAGGGGATCCAAACCCCTCTTCTGATCTGCACAGGTACCACACACATGTGCACAACCACCCCCTTCCCATAATTGAAAACAAAAAAATTAATGCAGGCAAAAGACTAGGCCACTTAAAGTAAAGCTAGATTCAAAATTACAACTCAACTATGTAGGAAAATGTGTACACAGAAAAATGAGAATGGATTTAGTAAAATATTGAAAATGATTTTAGTAACTATTAGGATTCAAACAGATTGCCAGTTTTTCTGCTTTTTAACGTTTTCCCCAATGAGTATTCTTAGTTTAATTATAAGTTGCTAACAGGGAAATAACATAGTTATTACACACACAGACACACAGACACACACACACACACACACACACACACACACACACACACACACGACCAGGATTGCATAGACAAAGCCAAAAAAGGCAAAATAGGAAGAGGCTCACTTAGCCCTTACCATTTGGATGAAAAGGAATTGTTACAAATTTCACAACTGGAGGAACAAAGTTGTACTCTTCTGAAAAATCTAATGTCAGGTGGAAAACAAGTCCTGTAATATAGGAATGAATGATGCTATTGAACACTGGAGGTCTTTCTATGATTTAACGTATTCATAATTTTCTTATTTTTTCCTTAAATGTCATTTTCTTTTTTACATTATTTATGTTTATTTCTTTCTATGGCACATGTGCATGGGCCCCGGCCGCGGCGCCCCCCCGCGGGTGTGTGTGTGTGTGTGTGTGTGTGTGTTTAGGGAACTAACTTGCCAGAGTTAGTTCTCATTTACTACCACTTGGGGTCCAGGGATGGACCTCACATCATCAGGCTTGGCAGCAAGCGCTTTTGCTGAGTCATCTCACCAGATTTCCCTGTGATTTTCTTAAATTCCTACGCAGTGCATAGATCCATTTGTGTTGTGGACTAGACTCTTTACCATCTAACTGGACTGAGTTTCAGTCTCCCACAGCTCTGTCCATTCAGTACCTCTGTCTCCTTCCCACTGGCTCCTCCCATAGTGGCTGACCTCACCCTTCCCAGAATCTGCCTGTAGCATGGATGTTGTTCTTCTTTTGAACTTGGCCAATGCTCACAGGTCAGGTCAAAAGTTGCTTCCTTAGAAAGCCTCCCTGACTTCTGCATGTGTGGTTGCTGATCCTTCTCCTGTCTTTGTCATTCTCTCCAAAATCCATAGCAACAGCTATAGTGTTGTCATTGTCACTTTATACACTTGTCTCACCTATGCCACTCAAAGGATCTCTTTTAAATAAATAGCAGGAATAAATCATGACTATTACAGTTTATAACGGGCCATTTCCTTGAGGATTTGACTTCTGGAAGTTTAGGGGGAAACCATAATGGGAAAACCAAGAAATAACTGTGGAAAGCTGAAGTAACAGGAATTTTGATTGGTGTTCTCTGATCTCCTGAAGATTGTTGGTAGACATTCTTGATAATGTATTTATTGTGTTTGCTTCTTAAAATACAGTAACATTAGGGATGGGAGTGAGGTCCTGGATTTGATCCTTACTCTCTGTCTCTCTGACTCTCTGTATCTCTGTCTCTTTCCTTCTCCCCTCTTTCTTGCTCCTTTTTCTTCCTCTCTCCCTCCCTTCGCTCTTGTTCTCTCTGTAAGACAGATTAATCTTAAAAACACGAACCTTCACAAACTGAATTCCAAAGACCTTCAATCTCAGCCTTCCAATTCATCATATCGTCACTTACAGGAAAAGCAGTAATACCCTGTCATATACATACATACATAAACAAACAAATAAATAAATAAACAAATAAATAAATGCAGGCTGAAATATTTATCACAGTTTTGAAAATTAGATACAGGGTTACACTGAATTTCAAAATTTGACTTTTTTCTTAATAGTTTATTTCTTGACATAAGGAGGTGTTACATGCCTTAAGTTAAGGTAGGTGTCAGGAAACACATAAAATAATAGTAAATTAAAAGCAAATTCCTAAGAATAGAAATCACTGGTGGGACAGGAAGGAAGGCTGGGCTATGTGTCTATGCCATGTGTATGTAGGGCATAGTCATTTACAATCCCAACTAGAAAAGAAAGGAATAGTTGGAAATTCGAAAATGTGTGTTTCCTGAAGGTTTCTGGTAATGATTCAGATGTCAAATGGAAGGCAAGATGTAGGAACCCTTTCATTAAAATTTCCAGACTCAACTCCATTACCTATGTTTATGAGTTGGATTTTTTTCTTGTAATATGAAAGGGAATACAAAACCAATTGTTTTTCTACTTCTGGAATTTGTTTGGTTTTAGCAATGAATAAGTGCATAAAAATATGTTCAATAGTGAACATGTAAAACCCAGTATGAGGCTCTAAAGGATCTGTCCCCAAGTGCCATTCTAACTATGTGGAATTCATTGGAATGTATTTACTTTCAGTCTGGTTAATTTTGATGTGTAATTTTTTAAAAAAAATCATTTTCATATTAAACTTTCTAAAACTTGATTTAAGAAAATGTTAAGATTTCAAGATTACTCTTATATATAAAAACAAACTTTCCCTGTGCTCAAGTATTGTCTCTATGAAGAAACAAAAATTAGCTGCACAGAAAACCTTCATAGCTATGCTGAGTGGACTTCAGTTCCTCAAATTCTTCCTGAGCCCACCTAGTGAATACGTATGCTAGGTGACTGCCAAGGTGAGCACTGTATTTGTCTGTATGCATTATCTGTACTGATGTGGACCATCACTGAATTCTATTATGCCAGAGAACAATAATGTCTAGACTGAACAGAAATGTTATTCGACATGAGGTCATGCATCTGTAATGTTTATATAGCTAATCTTAAGCATCTCTGAGGAGAGCTTTTTTCTTTTTTAAATGTGTTTATAGCAGGAGTAAAATAGAGCGCGTCTTAAGAACTACCACCAACAGAGCTATTGTTTGCGCCTCTGCACACACTCTTCTAAATTTGCTTTGCTTCTAAATTTGCTCTTTTTTGTACTTCCCTTTTCCCCTCATCCTCTATTTTTCATTTTCCATATATTAGTCCATGGCACAAATGAATGCCAATAACTTCACCAGCGACATTGGAAGAGAAGGTAATTTTTGAAGGCAAAGACATAAGAAAAAAGGTACTGGAAAGTATGCAGTAGAACACAAAAATTAAAAACAAAGGATCAGAAAATGTAGTGTGCTGGCAGTGGTGTCAGGAGGCAGGAGGATTTCTGAGTTCAAGGACAGCCTGCAAAGAGAGTTTCAGGACAGCCAGGACAATTATACAGAGAAACCCTGTTTCAAAAAACCAAACCAAAACAAAACAAAGAAGGAAGGGGAGGAGGAGGAGGAGGAAGAGAGGAAGAGGAGGAGAGGAAGAGGAGGAAGAAGAGAAAGAGGAGAAGGTGGAAGAGGAGGAGGGGGAGGATGAAGGGGAGGAGGAGGACCCTGATCTTGGAGTCATATCTATACTGAATCTTTCTAAGAATTAAGTTTGCTGGTCAGAAAACAAGCCACTACTTAGTTTACAGTATTAATGAGTACAACCCGAACCTGCCAGTCTATGCTTGACATACTCTGATACTCAGGGCTTCAGCTCACAAGAAATTGCACTGCACAATGTATTTAAAATTGTTATCCATCTTTATTTTGAAACAGTAGTTATTAAAGAAAACTGTAGTTGAAAAGTTGGCGTAATTAAATCATGGTTTACAGAATAAACATGGACTAACCTGCTTCTTAAATAGCATCACTGGCTGAAATAGATACCTCCATGCCACGTACTTACCTTTTTTATATTCTGTGGTAGCTTTAACTCCTTGAAGTCTCTTTCCAGCAAGATGTAAGCTTTGGAGTACATAGCGAGGTTTCTACCTGTCTTGGAACTTGTTAGGTTTACTCAGGGCAGAGCTCTTGACTGAGGTCTCTGGTCACCCTCTGACCCCTGGTTAACGGTTACTGACTCCTCAGTCAAATGACTGCTAAATTTAGGATTTAACAGTGACTTTATCTTTTCTACCTCTGACTCCTTCAGATGGGAACTTCCTTAAGGAAGACTGAGGTACTTCCTATCTGTGTTGTCTCAGCTTCCACCCCAAGACAAACTTGGGGACAACTCGAGAGATGCTGGTGTTGTTGGCAGGCCAAGAGGGAAAGGCAAACCCCGAGGCAGCACTGCCAAGTTCTCTTTCTACCTGACAAGTGGAGGCTGTGTCAGCTCAGCTGGACAAAGCAAACCAGTTGCCAAGCAACAGTCCTCTGGAGACGGTGAGAGGTTGTTGCCTCTCATCTAATCAGCGACGGGACTGTAGGACCTTTCAGCCAATCAATGAACAGTTTCATTGCGGAAGGCCAATGAAGTCAGCATTCAGGATGACATCATCCACCCCTCAGTGCACCAGGACACTGCTGGTGTAGAGGGTCTTCCTTGCACCCCAGGAGTTGGATAGTAAATCACAGAAGCGTCTCATGAGTGCCTGTCCACCATGAACCTTTCTCTTTGACTGTCAGGTAATAAAAATATATGACTGGTATCCAAAACCCCTCACCCGGCTGCTCTTTGCAAAAATTTTCCAAATTTCTGAAGTTGGAATTCCAATTTCTAAAGCTAAAACCATTCCTGCTTCCCAACTAGGCTTCTACCCCCAATTTATTCACCCCCTTTCCAGGCTGGATAGTTGAAGCAATCCTGGCTCTCTTCGTCTTGAGAGTTTACACGCACTCAACAAACGTCACTCAAGTTAACAGCCTTGTCACTTGCCTAGACACAGACCATCCTCTCTCATAGGATGGCCTGCCATAGATTTAAACTAATATGAGAGCATGTGGTTCCTGCTTTAAGTCCTGAATGGGTCCCAGCTACCTCTGAAGAACATTTTGTATCCATCTTCAGCATTTTAAGGGTCGATTAACTTCTATACTAGCATTTCTCCCATCCTGCTTCACACTTGAACCACTGCAGGTACAAAACTACCATGCAGTTTTTCCATGTGTGCCAGCCTGCCTGACTCCAACCATCCCCTCTATCTGCTAAATCTGAGCAATGGCTTACTAACTGGCCACCCAGCACATCTTGAAGCTTTATAACTCACTTAGCTGCTGGCTTCTGGGAGATGTGCTTTAGTTGTAAAGGCTACTGATTGGAGAAAGGACTGAGGCTTTGATGATGGGAGCAAGTAAGAGAAAGTATATGTATGTGCATTTGTGCCTGTGTGTGTGTGTGTGTGTGTGTGTGTGTGTGTATGTGTGTGTGTATGCGCCTGTGTGTTTAGCATCTGGTAAAGTGGATGATACTAGTACTGGGCATCATAGCTAAGTAGGACTATTGGTTGCATCCCTACTCTGGAAGCTTGCATGGTGTCTTCTGGTACCATGGCAGCTAGTCCTCAGGGAAGGGACATTCAGTTCAGTTCCAGCCGAGGGGTCTCTGAATTCTGTTTCAGACGTGCATGGTGTCTTTAGTGACAGAGACTTACCTTCCACCTATGAGAACTAACTAAGGCCAACACCAATAGGCTGTATGTTTGGGGAGTCTCTTAGACAGCCTTGGCTGACAACTCAAAGGAGGGTTTCTCATGTCTGGATTTTTCTTAAGTGATCTTTAACTCTTGGAGGAAGCATTGCCACACCAAATGAGAAAAGTTACTTTGTCTGTATAGTTATAAGACTAAATCATGTGCATTATGAATTTTCAAAAGTTAATAGTATCTTTTCAGACATTCATGTCATCATTTTATCCACCTCCCCCTTCTCTTGTACTTATTTTCTCCCTGTTCTCTAAGGATCACACTTCCCATTTCCCCCCTCAGGTCACATGTATCTTGTTATTTCCCTTTACCCTCTCTCCACCTTCTCTGTATTTACCTCTCTTACTCTCCTTAAGGAGACCCTGTTTTCCCATTCTCTGATCAGATCACTTGTTCCTTCCTCTATTACTCCCTAACCCCCTTATCCTCGCAACAGTCCCACTTACGTTTGGTGGAGGTGCAGTATGGTGCCTCTGTGGGCCCATGCTGAGGTATCCCTTTCCCTTGAGGTACCAGCTTCAAGACAGTATAGTATAGAATAGAGTTTAGGCATGGGGAGGGGAGTTGAGGGGGTAGTAGAGACAGAGAAAGGCAGAGAGAGAGAGACAGAGAGAGGGAGGGAGGGAGGGAGGGAGAGAGAGAGAGAGAGAGAGAGAGAGAGAGAGAGAGAGAGAGAGAGTTGTAGAGGAATAGAGGCCAGCCATGAGCACTTGGAGAAAGAGAGGGGGAGGGGAATAGGGAAAGAAAGG